TAGATACTATAGATAGATACTATAGATATAGTAGACAGATACTGTAGATAGATAGATACTGTAGAGAGAGAGAGAGATATAAATAGATAGATAAATAGATACTGTAGAGAGAGAGAGATGATAGATAGATAGATAGATAGATAGATAGATAGATAGATAGATACTGTAGACAGAGATAGATAGATCAATAAACAGAAAGCTAAACAGATAGATACTATAGATATTATAGATATAGTAGATAGATACTGTAGATAGATACTGTAGAGAGACAAAGAGATAGATAAATAGATAGATAAATAGATACTGTAGATAGAGATAGATGATAAATAGATACTGTAGAGATAGATAGATAGATAGATAGATAGATAGATAGATAGATAGATAGATAGATAGATAGATAGATACTGTAGACAGAGATAGATAGATTGATAGAGATAGATAGATCGATAAACAGATAGATAGATAGATAGATAGATAGATAGATAGATAGATAGATAGATAGATAGATAAAGATAAATAGATAGATACTGTAGATAGAGATAGTAGATAGATAGATAGATAGATGATAGATAGATAGATAGATAGATAGATAGATAGATAGATAGATAGAGATGGATGGATGGATGGATGGAAGGAAACAAATTGGCTATTGCTTGTGTTGGGTTGGAAAGATGACCAACCATCCAAACCGAAAAAGCCCGGGCAAGTCTTCTCCAGCCAACCTTTGCTTGAACTGATGTAGAGTCAAACTGGCTGAGAGTCAAATTGGAATAACCAGAGGATAATGGAATGAGAGAGTTGGAAAGGACCTTGGAGGTCTTCTAATCCAACCCACTACTCAAGCAGGAAACCCTATTCAGAATTTCAGAACGATGGTTGTCCAAGCTCTTCTTAACTCCAGTGATGACAACTTCTGGAGGCAAGCTGTTCTGTTGGTTGATTGCTCTCATTGCTAGGAAATTTCTCCTTAGTTCTAGGTTGCTTCTCTCCTCGATCCAGCCATTGCTTTTTGTTCTGTCTTCAGGTGCTTTGGAGAATAGCTTGACTACCTCTTCTTTGTGGAAACCCCTGAGACATTGGAACACTGCTATCATGTTACCCCTAGTCCTTTTTTTCATCAAACTTGACATACCCAGTTCCTGCAACCGTTCTGTATCTGTTTTAGCCTCCAGTCCCCTAATCCTCTTTGTTGCTCTTCTCTGCACTCTTTCTAGCATCTCAAATATCTTTTTTACATCATAGCGACCAAAACTGGATGCAGTATTCCAAGTGTGGTCTTACCAAGGCATTATATAGTTGTATTAACACTTCACACGATGTTGGTTCTATCCTTCTGTTAATGCAGCCTAGATCATCCATGAATCTTCACAGAGCAGGCTCTTTACACCAGAGTTGTGGTTTTTGCAGAGCTGTGCAAAACTGGATACAGTGTTCCAAGTGTGTTCCTACTAAGACTTTATAAAGTGGTATTAACGCTTCATGTGACCTTGATTCTGTCCCTCTGTTCATGCAACCTAGAATTGCTATGGCTTATTTTTTTTAGTTGCAGCTCCACACTGCTAGCTCATATTTACACGATTGTCTACTAGGTCTCCAATATCCCTCTTGCAATTGCTATTGGTCAATCCTGAAGCCATTTTGGGAGTATCTTCAGGGCTGTCAGAGCTATGCTGGTTGGCGCTATGGGAACAGGATGCAGGGAAATAGAGATAGTTGGGGATTTGTAGCCAAAATAATATTCTTTCTCCTGGGAACCAAGGACATTCCCATCAGTCCCAGCATGGACTGAAGCCAATGAGAGTTGGGGCTGTGACCAGATTGGACCGTGGGATGGACACGTGGACTGGGGGAAAGAACTTTGATTTTTAAGTTGGGTGGGGAAAACCGTGGGACTTTCAGAATCGGGTTTTCACCACATGTGCCAATATGACATGCCTAATAAATCTGTATTTTGAGGAACTCCTAGGCCTCAGAGCAAGGCTCTTCAAACTTAGCAAGTTTAAGACTTGTGGACTTCAACTCCCAGAATTCCTGAGCTAACATGACCGGAGGAGGAATTCTGGGAGTTGAAATCCACAAGTCTTAAAGCTGCTAAGTTAGAAGGCCCCTGCTTCAGAGATTTGATTGTGTTGGGTATATTACTTGGAACCCTGACGCTATTAATGAGTCTGGCACCACCTATTCCAGTGATGGAGAACCTTTTTGGCACTGTGTGCCCAAACCGGAACGTGCGTGTATGCGCGCAGGCCAGAGCGCCGAAGACCAGCTGGCCAGTGCGTGCATGCCTGTCGTTTGGCCATTTTGGGGGCCATTTTCAGGCCGTTTGCAGGCCGTTTTTGCCCTGAAAATGCCCCCCAAATGGCCTGGTTTTTTTTTCATCATTTTTGGGCCATTTTTGAGGGTGTTTTTTTGGGGGGGTTTCAGGGTGTTTTGGGGCCATTTTTCAGGCTGTTTTCTGGGCCATTTCAGGCCATTTTTGGGTGTGTTGGGGCCATTTTTTCAGGCTGTTTTCTGGGCCATTTTCAGGCCATTTTTCAGGGTGTTTTTAGGGCCTTTTCAGGCTGTTTGTGGGGCAGTTTCAGGCTGTTTTTTGGGCCATTTTCAGGCCATTTGGGGGCATTTTCAGGCCATTTGGGGGGCATTTTCAGGCCGTTTTCAGGCCATTTTCGGGCCGTTTTCAGGCCATTTTTCAAGCCGTTTTCAGGTACTCTAGCGCCCATGAAGACCAGCTGGTGCCAGAAACCAAAAGCTGGTGATGGCGTGCGTGCCCACAGAGAGGGCTGTGCATGCCACCTCCGGCACGCATGCCACAGATACGCCATCACAGTCCTATTCCAAACCTGTGCTTTTGGTTTTTCTTGTCTAAATGTAAAAACCACTTAGCAATCCGACAAAAATTCTCCCTCGGAGAAAGCCTATGTCTTTCTCTCAAAGCCACTTCGTTAAGCATTTCGCCAAATCATTCCAGAATTTGTGGACACGCTTCTTTTTTTAAAATCCAATTTTTCTGCCTGGTTCCCCTCCCCCCTCCTTTTTTTTTTTTACAGACAAGTCTGAAAACGCGCCAGGCCCTCACTTCAAGGCAAACAGGCTTAAAAACAGCACGAGTAAATCCTATTTCCTCCCCTGTCTCACATCTGTTTGTGCTACTTTTCTCTCAGTTACCTACTTAGGAAGGGCCAAAATCGGAGTGTGAAAAGCAATGTCTCGGTTAAAAGACAGTAATTATGGCTTCATATTTTTTAGGGGATCGGGAGAAATTCAATTTAATACTCTCTCAGAGTGCCGATTTGTAATGCAAGCTATGAAAGGAGACATTTTTGAAAGATTCCTGAAGATCCCAGGAAAAGGGCTGGCATTTTTCCAGTGTCCGATTTTCCTACATTTTTCCAGTGTCCCATTGTGTGTACTGCACAACCAACCAGCAATGGCACTGACCCCCACTGACCCAGGGCACGGCACAGAGAATACACAGGCAGCTTGGCAGTTCAAACTGCCCCCTTATTGCTCCAAATTTCCCCAAACGCTCCCACGTTTCTGGCAAGTCCCAGAGCAAAGTGATGATGAGCACACACACACACACCTCAAACAGCCTCTGACTGCAAATAATCCAACCCAACGCTGTGAATACCACAGCTGCACAGCAAGAAATCCAGAAAGAATGCAAGGAATCCAGGAAAGTTCAAACGTCGTCGGCACTCAACACTCCAGGAATTCAGCGTTTGTACCCAACAAATGCCCCTCCCCCACAGTGTCTCTTTAAGTCTCAATTCCCAGGTGTGCCTTGTGAAGAGGGGGGGGGGCGGTCTCCTCCCGAGTAGCTGGGTCAGTCTACACTGTTCTTGCCTTCTCTCCACTCTCCATGCTCGAGGATCAGGAGCGGGTGATCCTTGCTCATTGCCTGAGCTCTGTCACTCCTCATGTTCACTGCTTAGTCTCTCTTGGTCCATTCTATCCCCCTTCCTCCCTGCCTACAAGCTGTCCCAATCCTGAAAAGCCCTCGCCTGACTGGGCCTGCTCCTTCCCATTTTCCTCTGAAGTCAACGAAACCGTCCCCTAGATCTCCATCTGTTCCAGCTTGTCTTCCTCCGCAGATTCATGCTCTGATGGGGGCATGACAACCTCAACCAACCAATGCAACCCACCTCCCAATCGGCAGTTCACTTCCCAATGAGCATCACCTGACGCGATCTCTCCATTACAAGACCTATCACAAGACCCTCAGCTGACATGACCCTCAGCTGACCCCTCACAACCCTTCACAAGGCCCTTCACAAGTTCCTCACCTGATGTGACCCACACCTGACTCATCGCAACACCCACCACCAGACCCTCACCTGACGTGACCCATACTTGACCCAACACAAGACTCTTGCCTGTTGTGACCCACCTCTCACCTCTCATAAGACCCTCAACTGATGTGACACACATCTGATCCCTCACAAGACCCTCACTTCACCCATCACAAGACCCTCACCTGATGTGACAGACACCTGACCCCTCACAAGACCCTCATCTCACCCATCACAAGACCCTCACCTGATGACCCACACTTCACCCCTCACAAGACCCTCACCTGATGACCTACACTTGACCCCTCACAAGGCCCATCACAAGACCTACACCTGTCCACACGACACCCATACCTGACCCCTCCCAATACTCACAAGACCCTCACCTGATGTGACACACACCTAACCCCTCACAACACCCTCACCTCACCCATCACATGACCCTCACCTATCCAACTCACAACACCCACAAGACGCTCATCTGATGTGACCTCATCCATCACAAGATTGACTTACCACACCAAGCCCTTATAAGCAGAAGAACACCAACACTGCCATCCCCTAAACTCCGCTGAAGACGCTACCTAGCATGGTAACGAAGCGTTCAGAAACCGACCCACAAGCTCGGAGAACGAACATCCACTCTCCCTCCCCCCCTCCAATCCGTTTTCCTCTCCAATTTCGCCTCCTTTAAAATAATCCACTTACTTGATGCTGACTGGCTTTTGCCAAATGCTCGTTGGCGGAGTCGACGTTCACGGTGGCTGTCTCAATATTCGCTTCAATGCTATCTGTAAATAAAAAGAAGGTAATTATTCAACAAAGAAGGGTTGCTAAACCTTAAATTTCTATGGAGATGCTCCAACCAGGTCATGGTTGTCGCAAAGGTGCTTTTTCAGGGAGCAAATGGACTTCCTTGTTTTTTCTTTTCTGACTGGATGGTGGGGAATGGAAGGATTTATATTCCTTGCAGACAGCTGGTCATTTGCATCCTTTTAGAGGGCCGTTGAGGCTCCTTGGAGGTTTATCTGTGTCATCAGGGTCACCTGAGTAGTGCAAATGGTTCCTGTAGTCTGTGATTTTTCCTTCTGGAAATCTATTCCTACTCCTACACCATTCCAAGGGTGTTCATCCCAAATTGTATAGTTAAAGTATGTAGAGATTCTCCGTCATCCAGGTCATGGCTGTCCCAAAAGGTGCTTTTTTTTCAAGAGGCAACTGGACTTTCTGGTTTTTCTTTGAAGACGTTTCGCTTCTCCTCCAAGAAGCTTCTTCAGCTCTGACTGGATGGTGGGGAATGGAACAATTTATATTCCTTGCGGACAAAGCTGGTCATCTGCATCCTTTCTGAGGGTCGTTGAGGCCACTTGGAGGTTTATCTGTTAGTAATAGTGGAAATGGGTTTAGATTTCAATTCACAAGAGCTCTGATGATACCCACCTATTGCGTCTCCCTGCTCATATACCATCGATGCCAGGTCTTTAATGATCTGGTTGACATCCAACATATCACTCTGAAAAAAAAAAAGAAAAAAACCCAAAAGGAAGAAAACTATGAGTAGGAAAACATCAACATTTTTAATAGAAAGATAGAGCTAGCAGTTGGACCAATATGCTTATCTCATTCCAATTCTTTTTTTAAAAAAAATTATAGTAAGATACCTCCCATTTCTGTATTGAAAGAAAGGTATCAAAAAAAGAATTACAATTGTTCATTTAGAATTAGAATTCTTTTATTGGCCAAGCGTGATTGGACACACAAGGAATTTGTCTTGGTGCAAATGCTCTCAGTGTACATAAAAAGAAAAGATACATTTGTCAAGAGTCAAGAATCATCAGGTACAGCACTTAATGATAATCATACAGTACAATAAGCAATCAAATCATACTAGGAAACAGTCATTGATGAGAAGATTAATATTTATAGTAGTGCAGACTTTGTAAATAGTTGGACAGTGTTGAGGGAATTATTTGTTTAGCAGAGTAATGGTGTTCGGGAAAAAAAAATGTAGCTACAGCAACACTGAAAAAAAATCTGACTTATGGCCATTTTTCATACTTATGACTGCTACAGCTTCCCCACAGTCACATGACCAAAATTCAGATGCTTGGCAACTGACTCATATTTATGACGGTTGAAGTGTCCCGGGGGTCATTTACGACTGCCTCACAAGCAAAGTCAACGGGGAAGCCAGATTCATTTTACAGCCGTGTGACTAAGTGAACAACTGCGGTGATTCACTTACAACAGTGGCAGGAAAAGGGGGCAAAGAGGGGCGACGCTCACTTAGCAGTTGTCTCGCTCAGCAACGGAAATGTTGGGCTCAATTGTTGTCCAGGGTGACCTGCATGGGTAAGTAGCCCAGCGTAGGAGAACGATCCCAAAAGTGTAAATAGGCGATTCAGATTGAGGCTTCCTCCAGTCACACCCAAACTATTCATATGTTTCATTTCTCATACTTTCTCTGAGGAAGAACCCTTAGTCAAATGAATACTGATAACAGAATAGAAGAGAATAATAAATATGGAATGGAATGGAATAGAAAAATAAATGTGGAATAGGATAGTGTAGTGTAGAATAATAAAGAATGAATAGAATCCATTCCATTCCATATTTTCTATTCTATTCTATTCTATTCT